CCTGCCTCTGCCTCCTGAGTGCTGGGATTAAAGGCATGTGCCTACAATGCCCAGCTTAATTCTTGGGTTTTAATGCCAAGAACAAGGTAACATAGAAAATGAAGTGGATACCCATCAGGCCATGTTCCTTCAGAGCTGCAATGGATAAAATCACCTGGAAAGATGATGCACCATCAAGAACAGAGCCACTCTGGAGAGAGGAAGAGGAAGTGAATCGCCCAAATGGTTCTCTCAGGCATTATCAGCAAAGCAAGCTCTTTTGAGGAGGAAGAACAAAGATGTTTTCTTTATTAGGAAGTGACAGATCTGCTCTAACTGAAGGAGATTTTTTTTCTAAAAAGAATGAGATTTACAATGCCCAATCCATATTTTTAAATCATAGTTTACTAAACGTGTGTGTACACATTCTGGCTCATGTGTGCCACAATGCACACGTGGAGGTCATAAGACAAGTAGTAAAAGACAACTATGCAGATCTTGGGTCATCAGGCTTGGTGGCAGACATCTTTACCCACTGAGACACATAACAGCCCCAATCCTCTTACAATCTGTACTACGGAGGTCTCTGCTGAGAACTCTCCTAAACTAGCTATAGGAGGTCCTTGCTAAGGTGAGCAATAGGGTGGGCAACCTGTGGAAACCTGGAACAGGGGGATCATTTTCTAAGATCCAGCTGGACAACAGAACCTCTGTGGTATGTACAAGGTACCATGACATACAGAGGACAGTCTGGATTCTGGAAGGCCCAGGCTCGATTTCTAGTTCTTCATTAGCCATGGGATTGTTAGGGAATATTTTTCCTCATTTGTTTGGCAGTAAAGTGTAGAGAACCATTGAGAAAATGTATCTGAAGGTGTTCTGCAGACTTGCCAATGAAATACTGAGCTGCCATGAAATCTATCACTTGGAGATTTCTCAATCCAACAGGCAGTCAAACACAACAACTTACAACACAAAGAGCCTAAACCAGGCACTGAGAGGCAGAACAGAGAACAACAACAAAAAAATAAAAAGCACATTTCCTGTTCTTAAAACAAACAAAACAAAAAACAGAATACCCAGATGTACTGGGTTCATCTTCCTTAATGGGCAGCGATCCTCCAGAGCTTCTGAGGGCTTCTACCACACTCTCTTGAATGCCTACTGCCATTTCAACCCAGTCTGCTGCATTTACTTACTTTACTTTTTGCCTGAGCCATTAGCATTTCAGTTTGTCACTCATGTGCAAACAGAATCCTATGTTTGGAAATGAGGTTTGCAAAGGAGACAAATGAAGGAAGATGTAAGGAGAGCCAAACTGGACCCAAGCTATGAAGCCTCGTGTTAGTCAGCATCTGGCTGTCACCAGCACACTCTTGCATACCTGACATCTTTGCCCACAGTCATTGATGCAATCACTTTCTTTACTGCCTCCTTCTTCTTCTCCTTCTTGTCACTGTTAAGCTCTGCCTTCAGCTCGAAGATCTCCCCTAAGGACAGGAGACAGGAATGAGCAGTCCATCCCACCCCATAAGATGATTGCTTGCACCAACTTTCCAGAGGTAGGGAAGCTTTAGGGCCTTCGGCTTCAGGTAGGACAAGTGACAATGAGGAAAGGTAAAGAGAGAAATTAAGGTGATAGAAATCTGGAATCCATGTTGGACTAAAGGAATAGGACCTGGGGACCTGCTCAGCTAGCCTGCTAAAAATGCAGAGGACAGCAAGCTCCCCTTAGCCTTCTCAATTGCCCTGATTCCCTCAAGATTGAGTGGAATTGGGGAGTGGGGGGAGTGTCTGATCTCACACATTGGCTTTTCCTGTTTTCCCAGAACCCTGAGCTCAAACAGCTTGCTCAGGGTTTCACTTCCTCAACCTGGAGATGGGAATTCAGCTGTTTATAAGGGCTGTAGTATGCAATAAATTGTTCTCAAGAACTTGATGATGTAGAAAAAGAAAATGAAGATGTGTAGTTGCTCCGCACCTCCATCCCATGGAGATAGTCAGGACGTGCTAGCAGGTTAGGTGGTAAACAATTCCTGAACCTTTCTCTGAACACATAACTACACTAATTTTTTCCAGAGCCTTTCTCATTTCATATTCACAACCTGCCTTTTCCCCTTTTTACAGATGAGCAATGGAGGCTGTTCCATAGCAGATGGGACAGACTAAGCCTGGAACCAGGTCTATTCCATATAAAGTCTATGCTCTAAATAAATCCCTTTGCTTGGTTGGCCCTGCCATGGACACCCCTTTGCCTCTCTGACCCCATTTCCCCCCCTGCTCCTCTCTCTGGACTGGGCAATGAATTCTCTCACTTAAGTCTCAGCTGTGAAATGTCCATCTCAGTGCCTGGCACTCTGTTCTCCATCAAGGACAACTGCTGATATTAATTAGCCATGTGAAGGACTCTAGCCCTAGGTTTTTTTCCAAGTCATTTTGGGGTGGGAGTGAGAAAGGACTGCTATATGGGGGAAAGTGCTGAGAAAGTTCTAAGTAGACTCATAATGAGAGAAAAGAAAATGAGTTTTGCTTTTGTTTTTTAAACCATGATCACAAAAAGAAAATAAACACAGTTAATTAAGAACAATGATCTAACAAAGCCTGAGCAGGGTCACATTAAGGGCACTGCTTAACAGGGCCAGGAATAATCTACAGGCTCTGTGGTTCAAATTTATGAACCATCTTCGTCCTACAAAAGGGGCCTAGATTCAGCAGACAGGGACAGCCTTGGCCCATCTCCACAGGGGTGTTACTACTTTACTCAAAGCTTGTGGCCAGGTGGTGGAGGCCAGTCAAACCCATCCCAAGAAGGCTGGTGAGGTGAGTTCAGGGCAGACTGCCCTGAGATCCTTCCTCCAACAGACCCCAATGAAGCCATTAAACCTGGCTCCTCACTCATTGATGACAACCAATTCTTTTCACATCCAAAACCACACCCCCAGACTCTGGTGCTGTTGTCTCAACACTAACTCACTTCAGTCTTTTATTATAATCTACCTTGGATCTTTCCTCACTTAAAACTATCCATGGTGTCAGATTTAGATTTGAGTCTAGGTGTCTCTATTTCTATTCACTGGCTCTCAATCTCTTTCTCACTGTCAGGGGCCCTCCAACAGGGCTTCACACAAAGCAGGTTAAGCTTGAACTTGTTATGTATCCAAGCATGGCCTTTAACCCCTGATCTTTCTTTCTGTCTTTGCCTCCCAAAGCCTAGACCCAGCACACCTGGCAAGACTGTCTTAACAAATACGCAACAGGTGGACCAATAAATAAAATGCCTGCTGGAAGTTGGAGAGATGGCTCAGTGGTTAAAAGCACTTCTAGAGGACTGGGGTTTGACTCCCAGGACCCCCATGGTGGCTTACAACACTGTAATTCCTGTTCTGAGGATCCAACACACTCTTCTGGTCTCCTTGGGTACCAGACAAAGACATCCATACAGGCAAAATATCTGCACAAATAAATTTATATATATAAATATAAAAATCTAAATCAGACTAAGACACTTTCCATCTCATCAGCAGGCACTGGAAAGGAGAGGGCAAGGGAAGGGCTGGTCAGAGAGGTTAAAGCACACTTTTCGGTCACGACTTCCACTATTTCACTAACTCAGCTTAGTAAACTGCAGTGCAGCAACTTAACTGGCTTAATACTGAGTCATGAGAACCGCTGGGAAATGTTTATGATGATGTCAAATGAATAACAGGATAAAAACTTTTGCTACAACTTGAAGAACAATGCCATAGATAAGAACCAGCCTCCTCCAACAGCAGGGCTGCTGACAAATGGTGTACTTTCCCCAGGGAGGAATGTATTTAACTATTTTTAAGCCATGGGGAACAAAACAGGTACTTTCCCCCATGCTTAGCATTAATGTTATTTCCTGGGTTCTAAAAGCAACACTTAAGTTCTTACATCACCACTCCCAATGATGCCTCCAGGCCTCCACCTTCCCCAGGCTCCCCAACACAGCAGGAAACAGAAGATCTGGCAGACATAGCATGGGTCTTGGTGAAACATACAGTACCTTTCTTGGTTGTTGTGAAGTATTTTGAATCAGTCATTTTGGTCCTTTAGCTGTGGCCAGACTCTGCAATACAGAGAAGAAAAGGGTGGATCTGTGTTCTATTCCATGTTCACTTAGGCTTTGCACAGGAAGGAAGAGAAGAATCCAGAACACAGAGTAGGGGAAGATACGTATTTATCTCTTTTTCCAGGCAAGTGAACTGTTGGTCACAGTTGGTCTTATTTTGGAGGGTAACTGAGGGAATCTATCAGTGTTTTGACTGTCCATATCTTTTAACCCAAGAAGTTTCCTTCGAGGTATCTCTCCCACAGAACAGGAGCCCAAGGCCATCTGCCTTTTTCAGTATCGTTATCTATGACCATGTTACTGAGACACTCTTCCATGGCTGTCAGTAGGCAGACAGAGTAACTGTAGATTAATCCATAGACTAGAAATAAAAAGCCCTGGTGTTAGTCACAACAGCCCCTTGTAGTAGTCATCATGTTCAGAATGTTCTTAGCTGTGGGGCTCAGCTCACCAAAGTTCAGGCAGTTCTATCCTCACCTCATGCATACAAGTGATCTTGAGAAATGCAAAGTTTAAGAAGCAGAGGAGGAGGACTGGAGAGGTGGCCAAGAGTTAAGAGCACTTGCTACTCTTGCAGAAGACACCAGATTTGGTTCTCAGCACCCAAATGGCAGCTCCAAACACACTCTTCTGGCCTCAAAGGACACTGCACACATACATTGCACATATATACATACATACATACACACACACACACACACACACACA